ACCAAAATATAAAAAAAAAACATAGCAAGAGAAAAATGGAAGATAAATAGGATTGACACGTGAACGTGAACTTCTCATAACTGGAAGATAAATAGGATTGACACGTGAACGTAAACTTCTCATAACCATAATTAATTTTTAAATTGTTAAATCATGATATAAAACTGAGTTAATTTTTAATTTGTTAACTTTTAATTTTCTTAATTTTTTAAATCATTATGGCTATGTTAAATCATGACAATAATTAATTTTAAATTATTTATTTGTATTCGAAAAACTTAAAATATTGCTTTTAAAAATAATTTTAAATTTAACATAATTTTTTAGAAAATTATTTTTTAAAAATATAATTTTCTAATATTATTAGACAAATAAATAAATTATATTAAATTAGTTTAGAAACTTTATATATTTTAATTACAAATATTTTACCAATTGCTTCTTTAAAAACATTAGGAAACTTGCTATACTCTACCAATCAAGCCCAGTGACACTCCATTTATTTTCCATCACTCGAACACTGAAAAGTAAAAAGATATATGAAATCAGATCCATTAAGTTCTAAGATTTGATTTACATTTCTAATTAAAATTGTTTTTGATCATACGTATAGATAATTATATAAAAATTCCAAAATTCTAAAATTTCAAATACATACAAAAAAAAATCATATGTAAATTTTAAATTTGTGAATATTAAAATTTTATATTTTAATTACATATATTCATCCTGCGCAAGGCGCAGGTCTTATCCTAGTTTACACTAAAATAAAGTAACTCTATTATAGTGTAAATTTTATTATAATGGTTTATTCTATAATAAAGTTACTCTATTATAGAATAAAATATAGAAGAATATCACTTTTACTCTATATTTAGAATAGAATAATGGCATTATTCTATATTTCATTCTATAATAGAGTAAGTAAATTATATGAACAAAATTTACACTATAATAGAGCTATTCTATTTTAGAAATTATAGAGAAAAAATAGTATATCATTGGAGATGGTCTAATAAATTGAATACAATTTATATATTTCATTCTTTTCAATAAGTTTAATACATTCTTTTTAGTTTGTTTTTCTTTTTGCTAACAACAATTTGTAGTTTATCTTTTTCTCTTTTTTTCGCTAAGTAATGGATAAATCCTTTGTTCGAAACTACGCTAGACATTAGTCGGACGGCTGGTCTGCGCCTAGCGATTTACCAAAAAGAACGGAAATTAAACAGATATTAATTGGAGATATTATTTTATATATTTTGACATATAATGCATATATATATATTTGATATGTGAGATTTTAACAACGAGATCACGTCGCCTGGTGGTCTGTTTTCCTGCTTAAAACATTCAGTACGTGGATTCGAAGGAAAGGAAGTGCACTTTCACTTCTTTTTTTTACAGATTTTTGGTTAATATGTACAAATGACAATTTTGCCTTTATCTTCAACCTTTTTTCTGCGATTTACAGAGCTTCAATGTCGCGTTTTTCATTTTCACAATTTAAGAGTTTTTACATGTGATTCTTGTGGATTTTCTAAGAATATAATAGTTTTATAACATAAACAATGATTTAGCACCCAAAATTTCGATTTTTGCGTGAATTTTTTTTTTCACTACTGACCGATTTCACCTCTACGCCACGGTGACCTTTCGATGACCCTTTAATCGGGTGATTTCTCGGCTAGACGGGCGCGTTTTTGAACATGGGATAAATCTATTTTCAACGATCTTGCTAATAAGATGTTTTGGCTAAAAGACAGAAGCTGAAAAGCTACAAACGGTTTTTTATAAAGATTATTCATGTTTAAAATAATGTATTTTAAATTATAAAAGGTAACAATAAGTGAATAGATAATTTGGAAATAAGCTAGAAACATCAAAATAGTGTGCTGTATTTTATTTATAACGAGACATAATAAATTGATATTAAAAAATTTGTAATCTTGATTTAAAAATATGAATGGAAAAGAAGAGAAAGGAAAAAGGAGTACTTAGCTTGATTACTGATGGAAGCCAAGCCAAAGCCGAGCCGAGTTAAAAAGGAAGAAGCGACGCAGGGGAGAAAGAATGTCCAAGTCGGCTGCTGGCTACGTGTCATTGAACAATTCGTTAAGAGAAAAGACATTTACTCCCTCCATTTTCTTTAAATTAAAAATATAATAATAGTAATAAATAAATAAAAAAAATGGTTTTAGGGGGGTAATGCGTGCCTTTACCTTTGGGAAGAACATTGGTCGCCGGAGAACATTCGATCCTCTCTCTCTCTCTCTCAGATCAGATTAGAAGTGGAAAAAGAATTAGGTGGGAGATAGAGATGTGTTTGAGATAGAAAATGAGTAGTAGTAGTAGTAGGGAAGAGAGGATAGAGGAGAGTTTGCTAGTGGATCCCAAGTTGTTGTTCATAGGGTCTAAGATAGGGGAAGGCGCTCACGGCAAAGTGTATCAAGGAAGGTATGGCTCCCTGATTGTTGCCATCAAAGTTCTGAACCGTGGGAGCAACCCTGAAGACATGACTTGTCTCCAGAGCCGTTTCATCCGCGAAGTCAATATGATGTCGAGAGTCAAACACAAGAATCTTGTCAAGTTTATAGGAGCCTGCAAAGAGCCTTTAATGGTAATCGTAACAGAGTTGCTCCCAGGGATGTCTCTCCGCAAATATCTAACCAGCATCCGTCCTCGTCTCCTTGATCTCCCTCTCGCTTTGTCCTTTGCTCTTGACATTGCCCGCGCCTTGGACTGCTTACACGCCAATGGCATCATTCACCGAGACCTCAAACCTGGTAATCAATTTCTTGTTTTCTTTAAATCAGAATCAAGAATACCGAGAATCTCTCTTTTTTCTCTTACTTACTCACTCCTGTCCTGGCTCTGGCTGGTATATAACAAACAGACAACTTATTGCTCACCGAGAATCACAAATCCCTCAAGCTTGCTGATTTTGGCCTTGCTCGCGAAGAAACTGTCACTGAGATGATGACCGCTGAGACTGGCACTTACCGTTGGATGGCTCCTGAGGTTTGTTCTGACATATATGCCTTCCTTTTCTACTTAATAATATAACAAGAAAAACAAAAGCATCATCATATCTTTCTTCATGTCTATATATAGCTCTACAGTACAGTCACGCTGCGTCAAGGAGAGAAGAAGCATTACAACAACAAAGTTGATGTCTACAGCTTTGGAATCGTCCTTTGGGAGCTTCTCACTAATCGTATGCCATTCGAGGGCATGTCCAATCTCCAAGCCGCCTATGCTGCAGCTTTCAAGGTCTTCTTCCTTCTCTCTATATCACTCATCCATTCTTTCTTTATCTCAGTTTTTGTTTCCAAACATTGCAGCAGGAGCGGCCGGGAATGCCTGAAGGAATATCTCCTACTCTCGCCTTCATTGTGCAGTCCTGTTGGGTGGAGGACCCAAACATGAGGCCAAGCTTCAGCCAGATTATCCGATTGCTCAACGAGTTCATCCTTACCCTCTCTCCTCCTCTGCCTCTGCCTCTGCCTCAGCCTCAGCCTGAGAGTGAGCTCAACAGCATCAGAGCTATCACTGAGTTCTCCAGTCGCGCTAAAGGGAAGTTTGCATTCATTCGCCAGCTTTTTGCTGCTAAGAGGAACAAAGACTCTTAGATAAAACATCATCTTAGGAAGGAATCTGACACTGCCACTGCCTTCTTTGGTCATCAATAAAACATTAGCAGCAGATAAGTAGTATCACATGCCAAACTAATTACTTTGGTCACATTTTCAAAGCTTTGTTTATCTTTCTAATACTACAAAAACAAAGATAATGAGATCAACTGTATGTATGTTATTATGCAATATATAGTACTATCATAGTTTAACTGCATTTATGTGTGTTTGTGTGTGTCACATGCGTTCCTATATTGGTTAATTATACTTAAGAAGTAAACTAAAAAGTATCAATCGTAATTTATGCTTAGAACTAAAGAAAAAAAAAAGTGTATATATATATCGTTAAACTTGTTAAGAGCTAATGGGGAAATAAAACTACTGCATGCCTCGACCAATAAAAAAAAATAAAAGCATTAAATATAAGTATGTAGAAAATTTTATTTACGAAGCCAATATTTTTTTCTTAAAAGTAATTGACTATAGCCTATAGATTCAAATTACTAACTAAACGCATGATTGGTAAATTAATACGATTGTGAAAAGAATAAAGACTATTAAAAAAACCTTCACGTTCCAGTCACCACCTATATATATATATATATATCTTTTTGACATCTATATCACCACCTATATATTTATGAATCACATATATACATATATATATATATATATATATAATGACAAATTTTTAAAATTTAAACTTTAATATGCTAGTAAATTATAATGAACGGGTTTAACTGATTGATTGTGTTTTGGAGAAAAAATAATTATTTTCCATTTCAATTAAAATTCAGCTTAGTTAGATGGAGAAGAATAAATGTAACGGATCCTTAAATACAAAAATAAAACTGATGTTTCTATTTTTGAATTCAAAAACAAAATGATCAGTAAATGCAACTTGCTTAACCTTGGTTTACTACAGATTCACAGACAACTATGCGGTAAAGTTATGTTTCCTAATAAAAGATGACATGTACATCAATTCTAATATATTTGAATGAAGAAAGTGTAAATTGAAACGGACAAAAGTTAAGAAAATATTACCAAATGAAGAGATTAATTGATTATTTTGAAAGTAGAGTGAAACGGAAACAAAGAGTTGTAGGGATGAAAATGGGAAAGAAGAAAAGTGATTAGGCATAAATTATGAGTAAATATATCTAAAGAATCAAAGGCATAAGGCAAAATAAAAATTAGTCTAAATAAGCCGTTTACTTGAATGTTAGTACTTGCTAAACTTGGGATTCTCTACCATAACTATGAAGATCTTTAGGCATTAATGATTAGCCCTAATGATTCAATAAATAGAAGCAAATCGTGTTCTTCTCTCTGATCTCATAGTTCACGCACAACACACAAACCCCCCCAAAAAAACATTACATTTTGTTCCTTTGGCGATGGAACTCAACCTTACTACGCCCACATCATGTTCCTCCAGCAGTACCTCATCACCTTCGCATGAGATGGTTTTTTTAACCGACTCAAAAGGTAAAATGAAAGAGAAGATCGAGGATGGGCCAGCCACTGAGACTCCGAGGCTAGAGTTTCGTTTTTTGTTCAACAACGATAACACAAGAAACTCTGGTTTTGGTGTTTTAGATGAGGCAGAAGGGACCAAGGACGAGGCTAAAGCGAGGGTGTTTGCTTGCACCTTCTGCAAGAAAGAGTTCTCTACTTCTCAAGCATTAGGAGGACATCAAAACGCTCACAAGCAAGAGCGATCATTGGCCAAAAGGCGTAAGGAGATCGAAATCAACTATCCTGGGCTCTCCTTCTACAGCCAGTACTCACCAAGTGGTGTTTCCTACAGCAGCAGCAACAGCAACAGCTCACAGTATGACCTTGGGGTTCGTTGCAGTCCCAACATTGGTAAATATAAGGCCTATCCCTTAAACATCTTCAGATGTCGATTAGGGTACAGAGGGCTTAACGTTAATTCCCATATCCCTCTACTGTCTCAACTCTCCTGCCCAAAGACCGACGATTATTCCAAAAATTTGATTTCAAACTTAGAAGGCAGCATTCATATGAATAAGGAGGACCCAGGTGACAAAATAGATCATTCAGACAGTGATACTTGCAAGGATACTGAGATTGACTTGTCTCTGAAGCTGTAGCTTGCTTTTTTTTTTATTCTTGTTTTAAAGTTTACTACTTGTTTCTAAATTATGCATCCTTTCATGTTGTGTTTTTACTCGTAATGTTAAAGCTTATATTTATATATATAAATTATGCATCCTTTTATATTGTGTTTTTGCTCGTAATGTTGAAGCTTATATTTATATATATATAAGGACTTTTTTTCGTCGACATATATATAAGGACTTTAATCTTCTAACTGATACAGACAAGTGTTTCTTTATTTTTGTGTTAAATTCTAAATTTCGAAATTTTAATAAACGTTTTATTTGTGTGGGTAGAAACAGCTTTTTGAGTAGTTAATGATAACTAAAGACTAGAATATATGGGAAAGTAATCCAATCATTTAAATATTTGATGTTAAACAGTTAATATCACTTATTAGCAAATTTCCAAAAAACGACGTTTTTCAAAAGCTACAACTTAAAACTCATTAAATCTCTATAATATTATTTGAGAAGTCACTTTCTTAGGTGTCACGCTCACGTTAACTTTCATGATGGTTGATTACTATGATACCCCTAATGAATTAAAAATATATTTAAATATTATTATTTCCTTTTTAAAATCTTCCAAATAACAATATAAAACAAAAAGGAAATATTTCTAAAATTTACAAAACTATTTAAAAACGAAAAATAAGTATATATAATATGGTTTTATAAAAAATGAAAGTTTACAAAATAGTAATATTTAACTTACATATATTTTTAAATAACATAAATTATACTTTTTAAGTAATTATACTTTATATCTATATCTTCTTAGATGAAAAAAAATATTTGTATAAAATGTGTTTTCAGAAAAAAATTTCATAAAAATAATCTTGATATTAGAAAAAGAAATATTTTTTCTTTAAAAAAATAATTTAAACAATAAAATATATATTTTCAAAGTAATTAGTTTTTGTATATATCTATCTATTTTATTAGATGATTACATAAAATAATTAAGTAGCATAAACTGATATATGTTTAATTGACAAAACAAATTATAATTAGTATATTTATTTGATTATAATATCTTACTGTTACAGCAAAAAATATAAATTATATTTTACTTATATAATATAATTTCTCAAAAACAATCACATTTTTACTGCATATTTCAAGAGATATTAAAAACAAAACTAAAAATAAATTTAATGGTAAACATCTTTTGATTAGATAACTACAATTCTTTTAAAATATCATAACACTATATAATTTACTGAGGTAGATATATTATATTTTAATAGTTAAAATTATATGTTTTCTTAATAACTCTTTTGATGTTTAATTTTCTGTTTTTATGTTTGTGGAATTTAATATAACCATAATCAAAATACTTAAGAAAATTATAATTCTTTATTTTAAAAATTATTTAAAATAAATTTCAGTTTACCATCCAATCAATCTAAGGCATAAATTANATGTTTAATTTTCTGTTTTTATGTTTGTGGAATTTAATATAACCATAATCAAAATACTTAAGAAAATTATAATTCTTTATTTTAAAAATTATTTAAAATAAATTTCAGTTTACCATCCAATCAATCTAAGGCATAAATTATTTAAAATTTCTAAAATATTTAATTATTGTAAATATTGATATGTTTTCATAAGCTTCTGGAAGTTTATTATTACTTATGTATGTAATTTATAATCAGACACTTTAGTTTTTATTTTTTTTCGTTCTACGCACAAAAAATATTAAAAAACATAATCTTACTAAGATATACTTATATTTCTAAGATAACAACTAACATAAATGTAAATAAAACAATTAATCAAAAATTTAAGATATTTAGAATAAAAAAGATTATAGTTGAATTCAGAGAAATAGATAAAATCTAATATATATATATATATATATATATATATATATCCAAATGATAAACTAACTAAATATAATATATCTAAAGTTATATATAACTAAAATAATATAATATTATTAATATAATTATACATAAAAACTAGAAATTAATATAAAAGTTAAAGTAAATATCAATCAACTATTATAATATATTTATTTTATAAATATTTATGCTCGTGCATGAGCACGGAAAAATCACCTAGTGATTGATTATTTACTCTACCTCTCCTTAATGTGTGATTGTTTCATTTATTTTATACTATAAAATTAACAAAAAAAGAGGGTACACAATTTCAATCAAATATTTTGCCTTCTAAATCATTAATTATCATAACTATTCAACATTAGATAATTTTTTAGTTTTTATTTAAGAAAAGATTAAAAACATTAATAATATAGTTTTATGGTTAGTTTAATAAAAATATGTTTATATAGACCAATTTATTTTTCTAAAAATTATAAAAATATTCTAATGATGATACATGTCATATCTCAAAAATTGTAATGTTTATCAAATAATATATAAGAATATGTAGTGTTGATTGAAATAGATAATTTTTAATGAGAAAAAAAATGACGTGAATAGTTACTATGCAACTAAATCAGCTCTCGCCGTCGATGTAACAAACCCCCATTCTGGTGGGTAGAACATTTTTAATCTAATGAAATGCTTGTTTGATAAAAAAAAAAGAAAAAGTTGCTATGCCACTAATACGGTTCCTCTAACAAAATGGTCTTGGAACATTGAAATCTATCTAAACAAGTTTTTCTAGGATGAGTTTAGAGAGAGTAAAAAGCAAGGCACCTCATGGCTTGGGATTGGATCTTAGTAGGTGTAAATTGCATTCCCCTCACCGGCCACACCTCTTCTCTCAAGCTATATATAAACGTCTTTCGCTACTCTCAAGTCCTAAGTAAACACAGAGTAAAGAGAGACAAGAGTGTGCGAAGATAATAATGGGTAGCACGAAAATGTTGTACCTATATCGTTTGTTCTTGGTTGCACTGTTGCAAAGGGTTTGGAAGCAGCTGTGTCTTGCAACATAATACTGTTCTGAGTACATGGTGCAGCCGGGCAAGGAGAAATCATTCCATACAGCTGTTGTAATGACATCAAAATCTTTATATCATGATTTCTGGTATATGATAGCTAGTGTTTGTGATACTATTTTACTTGTCAATAGTCGTGTTATGGATTGAATTACTATTCTGGACTTGCAACTATTGACACGATAGATTTGGTAGGCAGGCTTCTAGAAACCAAAACCAACGCCATGTCATAACAAATCTTTGGCTGTCGACTCTCGAATAATATTATCAATACTATAAAAGAGGTAAATAAAAAAACGATTCAAACTCTTCTAAGATCGTTCTAGTTAGATCATTTTTTTTCAGATTTTGCTTAACGGTCATACTTTCCCATTAAAAAGTGATTTTTAAAACCGAAAAAGATAATGGCATACGATGATGTTATCTTTCACTATATGAATCATTGTCACACTTATAAGTATTACTATATAGTCATAAGTAATAGTATCTCACCAAGACACCAAACTCTTCCATCTTAAAGAGTAGCAAAAAACAAGGGAGCTAGAAATCCTAGTTCACTTAAACAGATAGATTCATTAAAAATAAAATAAAAGTAAAAATCTGTGTAGTGGGCGTTGTTATGAATCACCAAATAATTTGTAGACATTTCTAATGATTTCATCCATAAAGACTGTTTCTTGCTTCTCAGTGCTTTGTGCCTGTATTATTCACCACCTCCTTTCCTTAAATATTAATTACTCACTATTCTTCAGTTTGTTTGTTATGTAAATCACATGTACAATTAATACTGATTCGAGGGACCCAAAAGAGTTATATATGCATTTTCACATATATAAATATATATATGTACGTGATTATATGTTTATCACGTCGGTTCTCTTATAAGAGACAAAATATCAGGCAAAGTGCCAAGAATTGAGAGAGTTTATCTCCTTTCTCTTTATTACTGCCCTACAAATTGTTCATCCACATAACCCAAAATCTGAAAGGAAAAAAAAAAAGGGTAAAGGTCCCCAACTCTGTCTAAACAGATAACCACAAACCGAAATAGACAAAACAGTTAGCTAGACTTGAGTATCCTCATTAACACGTCTCTCTCTACACACAAAACCTAGCTGAGAGGGGGCATCCTACCTAGTCTATCGTAGAACCCACCCGAGAATGCACCGGCTGCTACTTGAACCCCACGGTGGCGGTGGAGGAGGAGGAGATGGGTACCTGAGGGACATGAACTTTGACGCAAACATGGTGATCATACTCGCTGCTCTGCTCTGCGCTTTGATACTTGCGCTTGGGCTCAATTCGATACTCAGGTGCGCGATGCGATGCGGCTTCGGGCTATCCTCAGCGGCATCGACGGTGGCGGCAGACAGGCCGGGATTGAAGAAGCGTGAATTGAAGAGGTTTCCCGTGGCGGCGTACGGGTCGAGCGGTGTGCAGATAGCTGCGACGGAGTGCGCCATCTGTCTTGGGGAGTTCGCGGACGGTGAAAAGGTCAGAGTTCTTCCGCCGTGTAATCACAGCTTCCACATGTCCTGTATTGACACGTGGCTTGTCTCTCACTCTTCCTGTCCCAATTGTCGGCACTCGCTCATCGAGTTACACGTGGCAGGATCAACCTAAATTATAGCAAGCAGCTCAGAGTGATTAGTGTCGTAAGTTGAATTAGTTATTGTTAAATTATGGACTGGGGCCGGGTATATAGCTTTAGAACTTGTAATACAGTAAGTAATCAGTCTTTGCATATATGAGGGCGAATTATCTGGGGATAATTACGTAGAAAATTAACAGGCTAATAACAATAGATAATTTTTAGAGGTGACACAACACAAAATAATGGTCCAACATAATCGTTTGCTCCAAAAACTAACCTACAAGGGCCAAGGGTGAAGCTCGATACAGGTGGACCAAATTCGGCCACACTAGAGACAGATGCTATAGTAGACGATGCACGGCTCTAACTGAACTAGGTGAAGAAATAATGTCTAGCATCCTAATTTCTGGTAAATGGTAATGCATTTGGAAATGATTTTTAAAAATTCAGCATATATGTTACAAAAGTGTATTTATCTTTAGGGTCAATTGTCGAAAGAAAACATCAAAGTTAATGGGAGTAGTTGAAAGATATATAATCTATCAGATTTTTTTTTTTTTTTTTTTGTATTGTGTGAATGAAAGCAAAGTACATAAAAATAACGGTCACTGCACAAAATAGAGCTTAAATGTCAAAAGAACCAGCCAACGGGAAGCTCATTAACCATAGATGATTAAGGTCGTTACATAATAGTAGGCATGAGATGGGCACGTACATGAGCCAGATATGACACATCATCTCCTCAGGCCTGCATCTCCTATGATAAGGATTAAGGAATGTGATGCATGAGCATGAGAGCAGGCTTGGTTAGAGTGTGCTTAGTTGAGTGAACACAGAATTGTAATGGAAATGAGGGAACTACACATATATGAATACAGCCGTTTGAGCTTATTGTTCTATAATATTACCTACGCTTGCGAGAGGGAGCGGTAGTATGAGATTCCTCATTTTGTTTTGCATGAGTACAATGCTTAACCCAAATTACTTGCTATTGCGAAAACATTGTATGCATGTCTGAAAGGTATGGGCCCAATACAACCCAAAAGTTGGTCCATTAGTCCAGTAACATCGATTTTATTTACTTGTAGAAATATCAAAAGTATTACAAAATCGAAGACGAACGTGCTTCCTGCTTTTGAGAGTGGGAGCCAAAAAGTGGAGCTATAAAAGTTGTAATGCAAATTACAAAAAAAAAAAGCAAGGTAAGGTATATAAACTATATACTAGTAATGCACTTTTTAGTGTCTAACGTGGAGAATAAAGAAGAGACACGACACGAAAGAAAGCGAAGGCATAAAATTTGTACACGAAAATGTGAAATGCTAAAAGGTGCTTGTGTCTCAGGTATAAATCTCTTAGGCCTATCATATTAATACAAATTTGCACACGATAATGAGAAATGCTAAAGGGTGCTTGTGTCTCAAGTGTAAATCGCCTATGCCTATCAAATTAATAATACTGCATTAGTTAGAGATACATACGTTCTTTGGACCATGTCCGAATGTGAGCACTGAGTAATAATAGTAATTATGAGTGTCTGCAAATTAGCTGACAAAAGTAGAGTTACATTTTGAATGTAAAGTTTATCGGGAGTAGATAATTGTGAAAAGAAATGAGTAAGTGTGTGGGGGAACACTCCATAACTCTACAATAATAAAAGCATTACAGAAAAAAAGCTCATGCTTGGACCCTTGGGGACTCTCACTTCACAACGGTGGTGGTGGTGAACTTCTCTCTTTCCCTTTCGTTTAGCTTTTTTTTTTTTTTTTTTTTTTTTTTTTTTTTTATTATTGTATAAAGAGAAGAACAAACCAAAAGGCATAGGAATGATTATATATGAACATAAATAACATTTTGACTTAATGCCCCTTGAAGATCAAGATTTTCAAATGTATCATGTATTATTNTTTTTTTTTTTTTTTTTTTTTTTATTATTGTATAAAGAGAAGAACAAACCAAAAGGCATAGGAATGATTATATATGAACATAAATAACATTTTGACTTAATGCCCCTTGAAGATCAAGATTTTCAAATGTATCATGTATTATTCTCCATTACGCTTATTTTCCTCAAATTCGGAATATGTTAATGTATGTTACAAGATTCAAATAAGATGTGGGAATGATAGATAGGGCATAACAAACAGAGGAACCTCAAACATTTTGATATAATTTATGAACCAGCAACATTTTGATTACAATGAAACCCCAAGTGTGAAAGATTCCTCGAACTGAGCTCAGCTGGTGTGATAAAAACCCATAAGAAAACAAAACATTTTCAAAGAAAGAAGAAGATGGAACTTATATATATATTACGATTATATGAAAAACTGAAGAAGGAATAAAGAAATACAGACAAGGATTGTTCGATCTTGTCGTCACTCAAACTCTTGGGAGGGACACTGTATGAGCTCTAATATCTTCACTACTTCCTCCATCTCCGGCCTATTTGAGGGCACTTGGGACCCACATACCAACCCTAATTTTATCACCGGTATTGCCTCCTCAGCCGGAAAGTTCCCTCTCAGCCTAGCGTCAACGCATTCCTCCACTCTCCCTTCCTCTAACCCCTCTCTCACCGTCTCACACAACACCATCACGTCGTCCTCCGCGTACTCCACTGGTCTCTTTCCCGTCACCACCTCCAGCACCAAGATCCCAAACCCGTACACATCACACTTGTCAGTTATCTTGACCGTCCGGCATGCAAACTCCGGGGCTGTGTAGCCCAAGGCGCTCTGTACCTTTCCGCTCAAGACACACCTGTCCAGCGCTGAGGCCAATAGCCTGGCCAGCCCAAAGTCAGAGACTTTAGCCTCCCCTGTGGCTGCGTCTATGAGCACGTTCGTAGCTTTCAGATTGTAGTGAGTGATGTTACTCCCGTGCAGATAAGCCAGACCTCTCGCTATCCCCAGAATGATGCTGAAGCGTTCACGCCACGTCAGGCAAACGCACTCGTCCCCGTGGAGATGTCTGTATAAGCTTCCCCCGGAGACAAACTCATGGATCAGGAGCTGCAGCGATTGCGTCCAGTAGTACCCTTTGATCTCAACCACATTCCTGTGCCTCAGCTTTCCTAGCTTTCTCATCTCTCTCTCGAACTCCTCCTGCGACTTTATCAGACCTGAGACTGTCAGTTTCTTGACTGCCACAGGACGCCCATCCTGAAGACTCGTCTTGTAGACCACTCCAAACCCACCACGACCCAGCTCGCAGTCCTTGTTGAGCAAGGCATTTGCGCCTGTGGTGTCAAACACGTCCGCTTCCCCTGAGAACATCACCAGCTTCCCGAATTCTTGATCTTTACTTGGAGAGCAGCTGAATGTTTCTCCAACGGACATAGCGAGAGCGGCAGCAGCAGCAGCTGCGTCGTGGCGGGAAAGGCTAGATCGGGCGTGGACATTGAGGAGAGTGACGGCGACCACCCCAATGGCAATGAAGGCGGCTGCAGCAATGGCAATGAGGGCGGATATGCTGAGAACACTCTTCCTGATAAGAGGTGGAGCATTGGATGGATTGGAGGAGTTGGGATTGAGGACGATTGGTTTGGGGTGGACAGAGAGACAGGGGCGGTTGACGACGGAGCCGCATAGGGATGGGTTTCCGGTGACGGCAGAGAGAGGGATGGTGTTGAAGAAACCTCCAGCTGGAAGCTCCCCAGTGATGTTGTTGTGAGAGATGTTGAAGGTGAGCAGGTGGGTAAGTTTCTCAACTTGTTTTGGTAAACTTCCAGAGAGATTGTTCCTCGACAAGTCTATGTACTGTAGGTTGCTAAGACTGCCAATGCTCCCCGGAATCTCACCGGATAGCTTATTCTCGGAAAGATCTCTGCACAAAAACCATTGTTACTATACTACTGAGAGATAAACACTTAAACATAAGTGACAAGTTGTAAAACTAACATGCTATGCTATGCTATGTATACACTTACATTGCGTTTAAAGAGGTACAGTTTGAGATGTGAGGCGGGATCTGGCCAGTGAGGTGGTTTCTTTGCAGGTGAAGTTGTTTGAGGGAGACGGCTCCTCCGATCTGAGAAGGAAGTGTTCCGTTGAGAAGGTTACTACTGAGATCAAGAATCTCAGCGAGTTTCAACCCTCCAACGCCAATGCCAATGCCGGCGCTGGGTATGGAACCGAAGAGAGAATTGGTAGAGAGATTGAGGTGCACCAAACTTGTAAGAAGCATCCAAATGTTAGACGGTATCTCACCGGAAAACTCATTGGAGGAAAGATCTAGAAGGCGAAGACCTTGAAGAAAGGCAACGTTCCAGTTGAGGACATCCCCGGTGAATAAATTCCTGCTGACATCAATGGAGACTAAGTTGGAGCAGTTGGAGATACTCTGTGGGATCTCCCCAGTGAGAAAGTTTGCGGAAAGGTTGAGTTCCTTGAGAAACACGAGATTCCCGAGAGAGGAGGGCGCGTTACCGGAGAAGTTGTTGGCAGAGAGATCCAGAGTCTCGAGAGTGGCGAGTTCACCGATCCAATCAGGGATTTCACCGAGGAGAGAGTTTCCTCGAAGTCGGAGGAAGGTGAAGGAGGAGGAGGCTAGGGTTTTCATAGAAACGGGAAGGTTACCAGAAAAGTAATTGTGACTAAGATCAAGCAAGCTCAAGGAAGAACATGTTCCAATGTCGGAAGGAAGGTGACCAGAAAACCAGTTATTGGACAAGTTGATGTGGCGGAGATCATAGAGAGAGCCGATGCCGAGGGGGAGGTCTCCCTGGAGGAAATTGTGAGATAAATCAAGCGACTTTAAGCTCTTGAGGAACCAGACTTCTCTTGGTAACCTCCCAGAGAGCTGATTGGTTGAGAGATTAAGATGGGTGAGTGTTGAGCAGTAGCTTAGCGACACTGGAAGAGGACCCGTCAGCCTGTTTCCACCCAACGAGACCCACCTCAAGGCCCCGCATTGCTCGAAGAACCCGTCTGGGATCCCACCCGATATGTTATTGCCGCTGAAATCAACTAGCTGGAGGGTCCCACGCTGAGTGAGCTCCGAGTTTAGGGTTCCGGTGAGGTTGTTGTTGGAGAGGACTAAGGTGTGAAGGGACTGCAGACGGACAAGTCCACGCCCGATGTGTCCCGACAGAGAGAAACCGTCAAGCCGGAGCTCCGTGACCTGATTGGTGGCGGGGTCGCAGACGCACCCGACCCAGTTGCAGGGATCGTAGTCTTCCGAGTTCCAAGAGGCGAGCTTGGACAAGGGGTCCTGCAGGCCTGCCTTGAAAACTATCAGTCCCAATACGTCGTCGTTGAACGTGGGGTCTGCACTTGTAACAACTGAAACCAAGAGCAAGATGCTGAGTGAAACAAGGGCTTCCTGCAACAACATTTCCTCTCCCCCCCCCAAATTAAACAAGTATTTTTTTTCTTTACAACAAAGCAATAAAAGAGAGAGAGAGAGAGGCTAGTCCGCCATGGATGCTGGAGAAGGAAACCAACCAAAAAAACAAAAACAAAAAGCTTCTCCTTACTAGAGATTAAGTGCTCTGCTACCCAAATAAGAATAAAAAATTTCCAGAGGAAGAAGAAAGGAAAAACAAAAAACAGGAGGAGTAAAAGGGAAGGTAATGGCCGAATCCAAAGTGTTTTTGTTATTTAAAAATTTGAACCAGCTTATTAAGTGGGAAGAGAGAGAGAACTTGGAAAAAAGGCAGAAAGAGAGAGAGAATGTGCTGTAAACGGCGTAAGCTCCGGAGAGGAGGAGGCTTTATGACTTCTCCAGTGCTGGGGACAATCTTCTCCTCGCCTTTAACACTTTGTCTACTTTTTTCTTTATCTTTCTATTTTAAAATAATCAAAAACCGGTCACGCTTATTATGATGATCATAGTATCACACAGTTTTTTGAATCAAATAATAATAAATAATTACTATGTGGAAGCAGCAAAGAGGATGGAGTAGAAGAGAAGGGATCCTTTCTTTCTTTCTTGTCCCAGAGCATGCAATGCTACGCCATCATTTCTCTAATTCTATAGTATTATATTACAACTGAAATAGATTTATTAAGATGGCGTATAGCTTCCACCACACCTCAAGCACTACTCCTTCCATGTGTTTCTAATCCAAATTGTTTACTTGTCATTTTATTAAAACCACTTCAATCAATGCACACACACTGCCGTAAACGGTGCTCACTCCGACTGGAGGATCTTCCCGTTGACTTTCTCTCCTTTTTTTTTTTTTTGTTGATCTACTTTATAACAAGATTCAACTCTAGTTGTTTTTTTCCTGGGTGAATCACACTGGTTCAATGGAAGATAACTCTTTTGTTAAAACTGAATCGGGTAAATTAACAAATAAAAAAAGTTAGAGAAAAAAAGAAAAAAAAAACAGGGACAATGAGTGATATGATGAGACTATAAGACATGCCTACCAAACGATCTCAAGACTTCTCTACCTTTGTTTCATTCCCAAGCAACATTCACATTTATTATGTTAACATCTCTATTCATTCCATATACCGGATTAAACAAAATTGTATTACGCACTTTTCTTGGCACATACTTTTCTTTCCATTTTGTTTTTGCAAAAACAAAAAAAAATAACACACACACATTAGAAGGATCAAATATCAATCTTCAGCTTTGTTTCAAAGTTAGATGTATTGTGAATCAAGATGAATTTTGTATTAGGTATTGAAGTTACCCTTTTTCTTACAAAAATAAAATATAAGAAAAAAGATTGTACTTCTTTATTAGAAAATGTTGTGGTGCCCTAATAAATGAGTATCTGACACCAAAAGGATAAATATATAAGGCTCAACTATGGACCTGGCCAGTAAAGTTTTATAGCATTGTTGATCTATGATATAAAAACAGTAAGCAGCATGAAAGGACTTTCCACAATTGCTAAATTAAGTGTAGAACCCCCCTATAAATAAAATATATATGACCAGGCTTGAAGTTTTGAAACTGCAATGAGTGAAGCCCCTGTTCTTACAACTCAAGCTGAGAAGAAGGTTGAGTGTTGGGATGGTTATCGAGAGGCATGTATTGCGCCATTATCGCTCTTATCTCTGAGTCCATGTATGTCTGCAGCACATAATTAATTAATTAAAAAACCCCCCCACAATCAAAATCAATGTATTATGTATATATATCCAAGTCCAACCAATATTGAACAAGTATGTTTAAATAAACATACCCGAATTCTGTATTTGTAAACCGTGTAAGCTCCCAAAGCAGCTGCTCCAAGTCCCATTATTATTATCCATATCACTCCCCAGCTTACATCTCCTCTTGCATCCTTACCTGTGTTGTAAAGTTAAGTGCAGTTAATAACTTTTTATCTTGATGGATCAACTATTGTTTCCAAATAAATATTTGATGAATGGAGTACAAAATATACTTATGCAAATATCATGCTCTCTGATGTAAAGCAGGCTTCCGCTGCAGCTACATTCATAGCTTCCCCATGTGTTCTTGCATTTGCAGCCGCGACACTGGCACGCTGTTTTCTCCTCACACTCATTCACATCTGTAATTAACAACATGTGGGGTTTTAGCTTTTAGTTCAAGCTCTCATATTTCATATGTTCTATTCAAAAGAATACACCTTCACAGTTTTTGAGCCCATCTCCCTTGAACCCAGGTGGACATTTGCAGCCTTTCGAATGATCATCCTAAATAGCAACAAAAATAAAGGGTCAGAATCAAAATATTTATAAGTCGGATATATAGAAAGAGAGGATGGAAGTTAATTATTTAGATTACACGGCAAGCCGAATAAGTTCTTCCCATCTGAGTATGTTTCCAGCACCCTCCATTGTTTATCCCACAACGCAATGCTCCTGATGCTGCAATATCCAAATTTAGAAACATGTGAATAAAAATATCATTAAGGTAATCATAACCTACATTTGAGCTATTTTACCTTCACAGTGTGTGTAACCGTCACCCAAAAACTTGACACCTTGAACAATGGGACATTGACATACTCTTCCTCTGAAAGTGTCCTGCAACCATTAGAACATTATTGATACTTAGCTCCTTTTACTGCAGCATATACGTAGATATGTAGCATAACTATAGCAAACACAAGAATGCCTAAAGATCTTTACACACCCTGCAAGCTGTAATGTTGGTAGCCTTATCCTCCCAACACCCTCCATTGTTTTGTAAACACTCGTTGGTTTCTATGTCTGTCCAATCACAGAATCCAGAATCCTACGTTAGAAAGTAGTGTATATCAAACAAATAAATAAATCAAATAGAGATATGTGCATGAAATAGAGAGGACCTTCGGTTAAGCATATGGGTGGCTCAGTAGTCTCGCGGAACCCTGAGCATAGGGCCTTAAGCACCGCAGATCTCTCCAACTTCCCTGTGATGAATGAGATATTAAATAAAAACCTAATCAAATAATAATGTCTACACTAAAGAACTTGCTTGCTTCTCACCTCTGTATTGTCTGTTGTTTATCACAATCGTTGGTAGTATTGTCACATCTCCTCGCGAGCCTTTCCCAACCTAACAAGATTAGTAAACAATAGGTAGAAGGCTTACATTTCTAATAAAAGTAAAAAAAAAGAGAGAGAGAGAGCTCACTTGTGCTTCTTGTTCATCTCTGAGAACGGGATTCTCAGTATTTGCTTCGATGTCCCCAATGCATTTGTCTATTTTATTCACATCGACTCCTACTCGAAAGACATAGAAAATAAATATCAAGACGAGCCATTTTTTTTTAAAAAAAAGAAAAAGATGTTACCAAGAGAACGAATGACTTGATCGGCACATTGCTTGTTGTATTTTTCTTGTTTCATGGGACAACGAATGGCGAAGTCGGTGACATAATCCCACCAAAGCCAAGGCTTTCCACTATCATTCATGACTCTAAAGAAGCAAGCTTGGCGTAAATTCTGAACGATCACGTCTCTCCCGTTGTATCCTCTGGAGAAATCTTGCTCAGGGTCAGGAGCACAATACCTTCCTCCGTTGATGCATTGCGATTTGCATTGTCTGCTTGCAAGAAACGCTTCAGGACAATACCAGGTGATGTAGTGGGGAGTGAAGCGAGTGTAGCCTCCTTTCTCGAGAATCTGAGCAGCTCCTTTGAACCTCTTTAGAAACCGGATCTGTGCATCACATTTGGATCCGCACTCATCGTTGCTGTTGGTCCATAGCTCGTAGGCTACTCGGTCGTTCGGGTGTGGAAGAGCCTCCCGCCAGTCCAGACTTATATGCACGGGTTCGCCGTGCTCTATGGCCGCTTTGATGGCGCTCCCTAGAGATCTGCTCAACAGCGCTGAAGGAATTGTGATGTTCTGTAGGTAATCCGCATCTGCTGTTTCGTCTTCTGGGGCGTCCATGGTGATGAGTGGCTCCGGCCTGTTATCTGCCACCAAGATGGTCGCAGCACCAGCTCGTTGCGCGTTCCACGCCTTCAAGGTGAAGTAACAATCTGGGGGCAAATCAAAATAACAGATTCATCATCTCTTATATACGGCTTTCCTTGCGAGGCAAGTCATCCCTGTTTTCATAAGGGATGAAGCAAAGAGATATAATAAGGGTACCTCCTCGATCTACGAGAACGAATGTGGGCAATCCAGCGGCTCTGGATCTGAAAGAAATGTCGAAATCTTCGAAGTTCTTGCACGCCTTCTGGTTGGCTTTGGGATAAACGACGGAGCCGGCCATGCTCCCGCCGTACTGAGGAACACCGAAGTTTCCAAGGGCGCACTCGTAGATTCCTCTGATGGACTCGGGAGAGGTCACTCTCAAGTTATTCTTCTCAACCACGAACCTCCCCATGCACGAACCCCACCACCACACCATCACCCATCCCATTACAGATAACCACCTTACATTCTTCATCATGATCCCACCCGATACATACATTTCTCCCCTTCTTTTCTAATATTGGCTTACTCTTTCTATTTTCTCTCTTTCACTTTCGCTTCGTTTTGCCCATAACAACAATTAATATAAGAATTGAAACTGTCAAACTAACTATCAGAGCTTATATATCCTCCGCCTTCTCCTTGGTTTGACGTGGCAATAAACAAACACACAGTCAGAATTTGGGCCTAATTACTAAGTTAATGGGCCTTCTTCTTCTGAATATATATTAGACCCATATTCCATTTTCTCTAAGTTATATATGCCTCGTAGCAGGCATTTAAATATAGGGTGATTTTTGTGAAATAACCAAAATACCTTATGCAGTAAACGCTACAAATTAATATTCGTTAAATTAATAAATATTATTCATTTTTCTGATTTAAAATTGGTCTAGATCAAAATATGACATAATTTCATAAAACTAGAAGATAATTTTTTTTTGAAAAATATTATGTAAATATATGATCCCATTAAAATTATATATTAATAAATTATATGTATATACATTTTATATAACTATAAAAAAAACATTATATTGTTTGTTTCACATTCAAAAAAGATTTTTTTTTATATTTCTTTACACTTAATATATTTTGAAGAGAATTAGTAAAATTAGGGTTCATCATACATAATTTCTAATTTTAAAACATGTGAATAAACTGAAAAGAATATGAACAGTCATACATAAATTTCTAATTTAGATACATGTAGTTAAACTGTAATTAACATAAACAATCATCTTGGTTTTGTATCATAAACAAAACACATCATAATTTATTAAGAATAATAATTAATAAATTAGTTATACTAATATCTATATATAAAACATAGTTT